TACCTTGATCAGTGTGATACACAGGCATCTCCTGATTATCCACCCTGGATAATCTATTCTGGCAGCGAGCTGGGTGAAATTCTAATGCCAGACTAGTTTGTTCAAGCCACTTGCTATGTTTCCAGACTACGTTTTCTGGTTAGGCAGCATGTGCTCTGATCATTCAAGCTTCTGCTAATATCAGCCAAATCAGAGTACAGATGGGAAAGTGAACATGCCAAGATGGAAAAAAAAAAAGCCTCATAACTTATTCCAAAAGTCATAATAATGTTTTGATTGTATTTGTCATTACTTTTTTCTATAAGTCCAGATAAATGAATGCTGACATACTAGAAATATCAAACTTCAGAAAAATATTTTGAAAATTTATCTGTAGAAGAAAGTGAAAGTGAAGCTGGAATTGGATAAAGTCTTGGTCAGTAAAAGGAAGATGCCCTGAGAATCTTAAAACACCTTAAGGAATAGCAAATAGAGGTCTGTTATGGGAGTGTAGTACATGCTGGAAGGGAAAAGACAAAAATCCCAGACCCCAGATCACTGCTAACCACCACGTCACCTTGCAGCAGTCAGTGAGCATCTCTAGGTGTAGTTCACGTGTCCACTGAAAGAGTAGAGCTGGAACCTTCAGTTGCTCCCAGAAATTCTGAGATTCCGTGTTTGAATTGAGCCGATGTCCAAATGAAACCTTCCAACTTGAAATGTCTTCGGGCCTCATCTTTTATGGGGGCCAAACCAAACCTGTATAAATATATTTGTACTGATAAGCATCAGAAGACTGTAGAGATGAGACCGTCTGAAGTGTTCAAAGGAAATTTGAAATCTCTTCATGAAGATGCAGAGTGAGACAGTCCATGCGAGCATTTGGCAGATGGCAGTGTCCTCTAAGAATCTGAGTACTGCCTTAGTTAACTATGGGGCATTAAAAACTATATGTGCGTGGCATGTATACATGTGTGTGTGTATGTGCGTATACATATACATGTATACATAATTGCCACTTGAATTTATTTCTTATTTTGTTGACTGTTTGCAGACTTGCTTCACTTTTCATCTTCCCAAGTGAATTTGTGTGGTTTTCCTTTAAAGGTGGGGCTCCAAATTACTACCCCAACAGCTTTAGTGCCCCGGAACAGCAGCGCTCTGCCCTGGAACACAGCACCCGCTATTCTGGGGACGTGCAGCGCTACAACAGTTCCAACGAGGATAATGTCACTCAGGTAATGGCTCCTTTGTCTGCTCTGGCTGGCGCTTGCTCATTCTTGTCAATGTCTGCATATGTTCCCCCTTTAAAGTGCCTTAAATTGAATGCAGGGACAACACCTCTAATAGTCATAAGTCAGTCCCTGTTGTATTAGATGGAGTGGAAGAGTTGTGTTACTCTGCTCTTTAGTGTGAGGTATGGAGACTCATTTCCGTTCTCCCAAGTTTTATTGAGGGGGTGGGTATAAATGGGGGCCTTTGGAGAAGCAGCGGTCTCATGGAAATCTAAGAAACGGGCAAGTAAAGCTTAAGGACAGCTGAATGTAAGGATCTGAGGAGGACAGTCCAGGCTTCAGGGACTAGAACTGACTCAGAATAGCTCTGGGAGCCTCAGTGGCCATAGGCTGGGTGGTTCCGGTGCCGGGCACACCGTTCACGTGACACTGCCCCTGCTCTCCAGCACCAGCTGCTCATTCTTACCATGTCCTCCCCTCTTTCCTCCTCTTTTCTCCTCATAGCTGTGTTTTAACATTGTGGCAGCTTTGCTTTGCCCACGGCCGAACTCTTCTTTATGGCTTCCTTCTCCACGTGTTAACTTTTTTTTTTGGGCGGGGCCCATTTTTACTCCTTCTCTCAGTTCTTCTATATGAGATTCTGGAGAGGAAATTGGATTGAGTTGATTGAGCTTTTCACTCTAGGTTGCTTCATTGGCCTTTGGCTAGTTAACTGCCCGGGGTCAAGCGCCCACCCTCTTTGCGGTCACCTGCAGCTGCCTGAGGGCTGCTCTTTTAGCAGATGCAGTGGAAGAGGCCCTCTGACTTTTAAAAGCAGCTGCCTCTGTAATGTGCTCAGTGCAGCCTACACTGCACACAGGAAGAGGATAAAGTTACAAAGCGTAGTTGTCTTTGGGCTCCGCTTGGGTAGTTGGTGGTAAACATATTCAAATTAGAATAGGACCTATTCTAGCTTCTCAATTTGTAAATACGGGTTCCAAGTAAAATATACTTAAACACATGAATTAATTCACTGTGAAGCTATCTTTATTTGTAAGGCACTTATGTGTGTAAATGTATATACAAAAGAAATTACTTTATTGTAGGATATAAACCATATTTAGATGAAATTAAACGTCTCCTGAGAGCCTTTTATAGTAACTGCCTTATCCTTGGTGATGCAAATGATACCAAGTATATAACAATACAAGCCCTGCCTCTCAGAGAGTTTTGCCTACATGAGGTCTATTCCAATGTTAAACCAGCTAATACAACCTCTGCAAAAATTAATTTAGGCAACGAGGCTGTTGCTGACATGTTGAATTTTACTATATATATGATCATTCTTATTTTGAGAGATTTTCTCATCACTATATAGGACTCAAGTTTTTAAGCAGCCATGACACTGCTTAGAGCTTCATGGCATAATCCTATAAGAGTCACATCAAATATAAATAAGTAGGTCCAGATTTATACGCTTAAAAATGACTCACTTGGACTAAGCTTATGACTTGCGGCAGACTAGCTTGTATCAGGTCTGTCCTTTCACGAGAACATCGGGAAGCTAGATAAAATACAAAAAGGATCTGTTTGAGGGCTTTGGAGAGCTTGAGCAGCACCAAGGATTTGAGGGGACAGGACTTTGGACAGAAAAGAAGTGCAGAGGTATGAGCTTGACATCTGGTCTTCTTTTCTCATGAGGCATTTATGACTTTGTAAGTGCTGGCCAAGATGCTGAGCAGAGTTTACAGCATTTTCATGGGTCTGGAGGGATAAAAATTGGAGTTCAGGGCCTGCTAAGAAAGAGGGTCTCCAGTTAACATCCCAGACATTCAGTTGGAACCCTGAAGGGCCATGCCTAGAAATAAGGGCAAACCTGAAATCAGCTTGCCTTCGCAAAAACAGATCCAGTTTTGCACCAGCGTAATCTTAGACTGGGTTAAGGCGATCTCGACCTCTATCCTGACTGTCTGCCAGAAGCAAGCTAAAGTCTATGGAGGAAAAATAGAACCTCAGATTATCTCTATGTTTTTTCATATGCAAATGTCCAGCATTCAGAATACACTGTTAGGCATACCCAGTACATGAAACCTTATAACTGAAAACCAAGAAGGGGGAAAAAAACAAAACCCTGACAATAGAAACAAACCTACTGGAGATCCAGATAATGGAATTGTCAGATATAGCTTTTAAAATAACTGCAAATAATATGTTCAGGAAAATAGATGAAAATATGGAGAATTTAATAAGAGAATTTCAATCTATAAAAAAAGATTACTGAACTGGGAAACGCAACAACTAAAATTAAGAATTTAGTAAATCAGCTTAAAAGGAGATTAAATATGGCTGAAGAGAGGATTACTGAATTGGCAGATAGAGCAGTTGGTATTATCAAGACTAGCTCATGAAGAGAGAAAGAAAGAACTTCTCTTCATTACGAGAAACCATTTAGAGACTGAGAAGGCAAGCCACAGAGTGGGAGAAGAGAGCTGCAATTTCTCTAACAACTCATGTACAGAATATTTCAAGAACTCCTACAGAGCATAAGAAGAAGACAGACAAATGAATAGAAAAGTGGGCAAAGGCTTGAACAGGCACTTCACAAAAGAGGACATCCAAACGACTGAGAAACATGAAAGGGTGTTTTATCTCACGAGTCATCAGGGACACGCAAAATAAAACTACAAAGAGGTACCACTACATCCACACCAGAGTGACTAGAATTAAAAAGACTGTGTACCAAGTATCGTGAGGACAAGAAACAACTCTGACTCTCATATGAGTGTAATTTGGTTCAGGCGTTTTGAAGAACTTTTTGTCAATATCCATTAAAGCTAAACACATACGTGTTCTATGAGCTCGTCTGTGCACACCTATGTAGATCCTCAAATAGAAATGTGTACACATGAGCGCCAGAGGACATGAACAGCACGGTTCATTCATTCTACCCACGTGTTCATCAACAAAACTTGGATGAATAAACAGTGGTATATTCCCACAATGTATAGCAATGAAAATTAACGACGTCTTCCAAGGAGCAGTAACATAGATGAATCTTACAAACATGACACTGAGCAAAAGAACTAGACACAAGAATATGGACTGTATGATTCCATTTGTGTACATTTCAAAGAGAGGTAAAACACATAGTATTAGAAGTCAAAAAAATTATCCTTGGGGAGGCAGTTGGAGAAAGGCGATAATGACCGCGTTGTGGTGGGGTGTGGTAGGGGGGTTTC